GAGTTTCCGGTTCCGGGCCTCGCGGGTGCGTGCGCACCAGGATTCGGCGCCCAGCTTCGGCCGCGAGTCCGCACGAGGTGAGGGCGCGATGGAGGGCTCGGCGGCCTCCGCCACCTCGGCTTCGACCCCGGCTGCTCCGACCTCGCGGAACCAGCTGGACCAGGAGCAGGTGAGCGGCCCCCGGGACGGGGCTTCACCGGGGGATGGCTGGGGCCGAGTGAGGCGCGGGCGCAGCGGGGGGGAGGCCGGGAAGCCCAGCGCGGCCTCCGCGCCGGGGTGCACGAGCCCGCGCCCGAGGAGGGTGTCTGGCTGGCGGTGCCCTGGGACCCGCGGTCAGTGCTGGCCGATGGACGGACCCCTGCTTCCCCGGGCGGCCTGGCTCTCCGGAGCGGGGTTTGCGAGTGTCACCCGGAGTTAGGGTCAGGGTCGAGACCCACTGCGCTCCCCAGCGGTGGTCGGGACGTGGGACTCCGCAGCCGGACGTCTCCTTACCGTGGGTTTTAGGAAAGCCCGCGGTTTCCCGGCGTCGCCGGAAAGATGATGCCTGTGGGCCGCCTGGGCCAGCACCTGGCACGGGGCACTCGTGTGGGCGCTTTCCCTGGGGCCACTGACCTTCTTACCGAGGACAGGAGCATCGCTTCCGGGCGCCTGGTGTAAGCCGCGCTCAGGAGGGTACTTAGGCGTTTTGGTGGATGCTTAAGTTCCTGAGTATGTATTTCAGGATCCTAATAAGTAGGTGGTCGAGGTGGCCTGTTAAAATAGAGGGGGGAGCAAATACATATGTTGTGGGAGGGACGAATGTTAAATCAGTTTGGGATAATATAACTTATCTCCACTTTGCAGATTAAAAAGGCATTGGAAGCTCTGTTGACGCATTCCAGGTCCAGGAAAAACGACAATGGCTTGCTTTTGAATGAGAATGAAAATTTATTTTTAATGGTGGTATTATGGAAAATTCCAGAAAAAGAACTGAGGATCAGATTGTGAGTTCTGATTTTTCTACGGTTGTTAATGTGCTTGTTCCTTCTAGGTAACTAACAATTGCACCTTTGTTTCTAATGCAAACTTCACAAACTCAAAAATCTGAGACAAAGCATTGATGCCTAAAAGAACAATAGCACTTGGGACTTAAATTATCTAGAAATGTCACCAGTTTTCCTGAGGCTATTAGATGTCCATTCAAAAACCTAGTGCTTGAGAGATCTAAAGTAAGCAGGGTACACCTGTAATCCCAGGGCTTGGAGGCTTGGGAGGCTGATACACAAGGATGGCAAATCAAGACCAGCCTCAGCAAAAAGCCAGGCCCTAAGCAACTCAGTGAGACCCTTTCTCTTAAGTAAAATAGAAAAGAGGGCTGAGGGTATGGCTCAGTGGTCCAGTGACCCTGAGTTCAATCCCTGCTACCAAAAAAAAAAAAAAAAGGGAAGAGGGAGATTTAAAGTAAAATAAGTAGCTCAAACTAAAATATTTGAGGTCCAGACTCCTTAAGAGAAACTGAAAAGCTTGGCACTGAACTCCTTTTTATAGAAAAGGAACTCTGATTGTATATTATTCCTGCAAGTCAGATTATTCAGTCAGATTGCTTTTCCCTAGATTGGGCAGATTCCATACAATATTTGGGACCTACTGATGTTAGTTTTTGATCCGAAACTCAAGTTTAACAGTTTTCATTCTATCTGGCAACACTGCTTTTCTATCCAATCTGTCAAAGAGCCAGCTCTGCTCAAGAAAGCAGTGTGTAGGGATGACCATTTCCTTTCTCTTTTAACCAAGGAAATGTTTCTTCACAACATGTAGGCCTAAGAAATTCTGTTTAAGACTCAACAGTGGGCTGGGATGTGGCTCAAGCGGTAGTGCGCTCGCCTGGCATGCGTGCAGCCCGGGTTCGATCCTCAGCACCACATACCAACAAAGATGTTGTGTCCACTGAAAACTTTAAAAAAAAAAAAAAAAAAGACTCAACAGTGTGTGTTTACTGGTTCCTCTGGAGTTAATAATCTTAGTAATTATATATGTACTCTTTAGGTATCTTTATGATTATATTTTAACTATTTTTTTGAGAGGTGGGGATTTTTTAATATTTATTTTTTAGTTTTCGGCAGATATTTTAACTCTTATT